TCGCCAATCCTGCTGTGATAGCCTCCCATTTCCATCTTTGCCCCCTGTGGTCTCTTCTTACCACCACCAGAGTACCATTTTAAAATATGACTTAGATCATTTTAATCCTCTGTTCAACACCCTCCAGTGGACTCCAGTTCTCCACAATTGTAAGAAAGAAATATACCTTTGATTCTGTAAGGACAGAGGGAACTCTGACCTACCATGGCTGTGTGCCCCAGCAACAGAGGGACAGGGCAGGTGGTGTGGCCTCTATAGTTCAGCCATAGTTGTAGGGAGTCATGGTCAACTAAGGGCTTGATTCTAGAGAGAATCAAGTGGCCCAATGGTGGATTTCCTGTCACATTAGGGCTGTGAATTAAGACCTGGACTATGAGGTAGTCTACACATGCTCAGCCAAGACAGGCTACTGAGGAGGTTGGGCCGTGCATGGCTCAAAAGGCTTGATGCCATTTCTGTGAAGGGTGGATTCTCAGCACTGCATCTCTCAGTCCCTTTCATTGGAGGTGCTTCCTTTTAAAAAAAATTGCCCATGTGGTAGCAAGACTGAAGTCTTTGCTGTGGAACTTTTTTTTTGTAATTGGAGACAATCATAGAATGCAGGGCCTGAGCACAGCTGCCCACATCTGTATGCTCTACCACCCATCCATCCTGCCTGTCACAGGGGAAAGGTAGGAGTAGCAGGGGTGAACAAGCGGCCTCCATCTGCCTGGATCACCTAAGGCAAAAAGGACTCCACACCAGGCCTCTTTCCCATACCTCCCCACAGAGAAGCATCTTATTCTTTTGTCATTCCAAAGCTTGTGGCCCAAGCAGGACCCAGAACCTAGAAACAGAACAACTCTGGACAAGTTCACCTTTGCTCACATGCTTGTTTAAAAGCGATGAAGCTGTTAGTGTGTCTTGGTTTTGCCTCCTCCTCTCTGTTCTGCCCATTCTACCTAGGTTGCTAGGTCAAAGCAGTAGAAGCTGGGGCCTCTGCAGCCCTTTCCCTCCTCACCCTTACTGTCCTGCCCTTGCAACGGGTTCTTTCACAACCAACCCAACAGACTAGAATGAAAGCTACATTAATTTTCCATGTTAGAATGTAACCAAAAAATTTATTAAAATAATGGCATGTGTTATTTAACCTAAGATAACCAAAATATCATCATTTCAACATGCAATCATTCTAAAATATTGCTGACACTTCACATTCCATTGTATCTCCTCAGTCTTCAAAATCTGGTGTGTATTGTACATTTATAGCACACCTCAATTTGAACCAGCCACTTTTCAGATGCTCATGTGTCAGTGGCTACCATATTAAATAACGTGAATATCCAGAAAAGTATTTTTGCAAAGCTGAAGTCATATTGCCTATACAACTTAATATTCTCCTCTTGCTGTTTTTTATACATTCCTACATCATCAAAAGTTACTCACAATCATTATCTCTAATGATCATACCCCATCCTTTAGATGTATCATACTCTTCATAATCTTCTTCACCAATGCCCAGAGCTGGACAGCTGCAATTTTTCAATACTATAATCAATGCTTTGTTACTTGTGCTTAAGGCTTTAGTGTACACCTCTCTAATAGTCTAGCCATTTTTAACAAAATGATATTTGAAGATCACCAGTCAAACTACCCACAAGTGATTTCATCTGGGAGCTGAGACATCTTGGGTTCTCATCCAGACCTTTCTACCTGACTCTAAAACCTAGGGCAAACCACCTGGCTTCTCACACCAGTAAACTTGATTGTATTAGATGATTTTTCAAGGGTCTTTCCATCACTAAACTTTTTTGCTCACTCTCATGCCTAATCAATTAACCTGTCAGGTTGGCCATTACAATTCCTGCAAGTCCTGTCAAAGGACCTCCTAGACATTAAAAAAATAAAATCCATTTACTTCTCCCCACCCACACTCAGTGTCTTTGTATAGGCCAACAGCACTGTGCATCTAAACTGGGATGGGACTGATGCAGACAGACATTAGGGTCTCGAGTCCAAAATCAAGGCTATGATTAAATGAGGTATGTGGGAAAACATAAAAGCTGGTGCAAAGATATTTGGTGAGTATTTGCTGCAATTGAACCTGAGCTCAGCTTCCAGAGATCCACCTAGATCCTGTTCCTGAAAAGTTGCAGAGGAGTTGCCAGTGAACCACTGAGGCACAGATGCCCTTCTATGTGCTGAGCCTTGTGCCAGACACTGGGTGTTGTGAGAAGACAAAGCTTCAGCAGCTTCCTCTAAAGGGCTGACAGTCTAGAGGAGGGGATAGGAACCCCGTACACAAAACAAGCATGCCTCAGGCGGTGTCGTCAATGGAAAAACCAGATGGAGAACAGAACAATTATCTGAGCAATTCAGGCAAGCCTGCTGTTGAGGAAAATGCTTGAAGAAATTTGCTCTGCTTCCTTTGTGAACCAAGGGGTTAGGGCAGCCTGGGGAAGCAAAAACACAAGAAAGCTCTAGTGCTCTGGAAAGACCAAAGATCTGGTCTGTGCCCTATGATCTTAGACAAACCATGAAACTGTTTCTTCATCTCAGTATACTAATCAGTCAAAAGGACACAGGGTAATACCAACCTTACCCAAATCTCAGTACTATAGGATGGGTTTGGTTGAACACAATGATTATGAATAAGGAAAACAGTATTAAGTAGGGCAATCTCACAAGCTTATAGACAACCAAAAATAAGTCTCCTGAGACCCTACTCTTCTTGAAAGGAAATGTTTAGTAGTCATAAACAACTATGTATTTGCATTGAATTTCACAAAGAAAGTTTTCAAAATCCCATGTGTTCGGTATTATACTTGCTCCTTTTACTCTTAAGGATTCTGAGTTTGAAAGAGCTTAAATAACTTGTACAAATTTACACTGTTTGTGAGGCCCAGATGTAGGCTTTCTGACCTTAGTTCTCTCTTTCTACACTGAGCTGTCTTCCTATTAAAATCTCTACCACCAAAACATGAATATAATTAATAACTATTATAATAAATAATATAATTAAATATTGGTAATATTCTCTATATATACATTTCCCTTTGATCTGACACTAAAACCTCCAAATAGAGGCATTTAAAAATGCCTGACATGCAAGAATAGCAAGTTCACTTTCTCACAATAAGGAAAAGTAGCTGTCCCCATCTGATTTACATTTTATGCCATACAGCAGGAAATATTTAAGTTGACAAATAGGATATTTACAACTGCAACAGATATTTGGCAGTTAGTTTTTAACAATTGTTGCAAATGTGATTTATCTGCTATTATAAAAGGGCATTACTGTGCGAATATGACTCCTGAAATTAGCTTCAGTTTAGCAAGGGGCCTTGACAGCTTGACCTCTTAATATCCTTATAATGATGCCATTTACATTCAATGCTTACTCAAGTCACTCGCTGCTAGATTTGTTTGAGAGGAGTCCACTCTAGGGCAGATATATTATGTATTTTAACATACAGAGTTAGTGTGTGGGGCACATGTAGGCTTTCTAAGAGGAAAAAATTGTTTAATCAAGTCTTCATGAAAATGTGTTAGTTTCCAAGTTCCTACAGTGAAAATGCATTACTGCTAATTATAGTGTACTCCAGAAATACAATACTTCATGTTTTCTCCATAAGACATTTCCATGGAATGGATTATATTAAACAAGAACATGTTTTGATCTTTTGCAACTTCAGTTGTTAATTTGACTGGGAGCTGGTACAGAAGAAGGATATGCTGGCCAGAATCGGTGCCATCTTCTCCCACAGACAATGGGAAGGTGGACTTGGAGTCCAGCAGAACTGGATTCAAATCTTGCACCACCACCCCTTGTTATGTGGGTTTGGTTACCTCTCTGAACCTGTTTCTTTATCTATGACAGGGGGCTGTAATTTTCTAAGTTACTATAAACCGCTGAAATGAAGTGCCTGGCATACAATAGGTGCTGGACACACGGAAGACAATCAAGTTGTGTGTTGCTTAAGCTCAAACATCACTTTCTCCATGATGCAGTCCTGATTTCACTAGATAAACTCAGTTTGTCCTTTCTTTCTGCTTCAGTGGTTCTTTATGATAGCCCGCATTACATTGTGTTGTAAGTTAGTGAATATGCATTCTGAATATGTCTTGCCCTTTTCAGTGGCATGACCTGCACCTATATGCCTTTAATTAGCATAATTATATGTCATTGGCATTAAAATGAGGAGGATTATGGAGTGCTTCTGGATTTAGACTGGTGGCCAGGGACAGAGTGACTGCTATGGCACAAAAGTAGCAGCACATCACCCACTTTTGCCATCACCAATTTAAGCACATAGCAGATGCTCAATATCTCCCAAAGGAATTATGGCCATTACTCAGTTGCCTGTAGTTTTCAGTAACTTTTTACGTACATATCTCTGTTTTTCAAAACATTTGGAATTGTATTGCATCACTGTGTTCTTCTAACAACCCTGTGAGTCAGGGTCACTAGGGTTCATCACTGGCTTCTAGTTGGGGCTACAGGGACATGATGGAGTGGAGAAGTAACTTTCTTGCACTTTTAGTAAGATGGTAGTAGGACCAAGGCTTACAGGCAAACCATAAGTTTTCCTTAAGCATAACATTGAGATTCCCAGAGAGGCTAGCTCTGCTTTTCGAAAATCACCCTACCTCTTCTGTCTGCTTTCCTTTAACTTCCCATCTTCTGAAGCTTCTGTCCTCATTTTATCAGTAGAAAACATTGCACTGATCACATTAAAAAGGTGAACCACAGGCCAAAAAAATCCGAATTCACATTCTAGGAACTGAGCATCTCCAGCAGGTTATCTTGCCAGGTATTTTCATGTTGTAACTCCCCACAGTACCTTGATTCTTCGAATCAGGAGACCAAATGAAATAGAAACAGAAGCAAAATATTTATTCCATTAAGTCATGTGTTCACAGGGTTGGCTGGGCCACTGTGGTTAGGGTGGCCGGGGTGGTTTGCATTCTGTATCCTGGTCGCTGTTCTCACCATCACATCTTTGTCCTGTCTTCATCAGGTGTGGGCCACAAGCCTCAACCTCTCCTATAGTGACCAACTGGCCTTGACTCAGCTCGCCTTATACTTGACCAATGGCCACCTGGATTGCAGCTTGAGCACCTTTGGAGTGCCCCTCTTTGTTCCAAAGAAGAAGAAGAAAATGAGTTGCTCACAGGTAACAGTCGATACATCCTGATTCTTCCCAGTGTTGAGTAATACTCAGTCACCACTTACTGAGTCCTGGCTACATGCCATACTCTCTGGGTACAAGAAGAAAGAACCTTGGGCAATTCACTTATGTTCTTCAAAGTGTGCTTCTAGTTTACAGATATATTGGTCAAAGGAAAGGGTAGAGGGCATTCCAGAGAGAGGAAGAGACTGTAATCAGGTGAAAGACCATGCTTGGGGTACATCTCAATCTCTTCTCAACTCATTCCACTGCTTCAAATACCATCTCTTTCAAATAAAATTCTTATTTTTCTAGGTACAGTCACTATGCAGGATTGCATTCATCATCTCCCTATATTTTCTCTTGGTGAGTTAGGACAAAGGAAGCTCAATGGCCTGAAACCCAAACCTAGGCAACAACTGGCTCATATTAATGCTAGCTGCTAAAACGCCTCAACTCTGCGCCATCATCTCTCTTCACAAAGACACTGCCTTGGTTTTGGATTTTATCATCTCACACTAGTATTATAGTTCCTCACTAAGATTTTCTGCCTTTTTCTTTCCCCTCAAGTTAAACACACAGTCAACGTGATGAAGGTGCAACAGCAAAATCTGAGTTTTGTTGCTTCCCTCCTAGTGATTTTTAAATGACTGCAGTCATCTTCAGGAAAATCCCAACTTTCCCAGTATGGTTTACAATATTCACCATGATCTATTTCTTCCCACAGCCCCAACCATCACTACCAAGGTAGCCAAGGTAGCTAGAGCCAGAGTCCTGAGGCTGGATGAGGTTTACCAAATTCAAAACCCTGGGTAACAAAGGGTAAATAGATGTATGTGGGGACAATAGTGGAGGCCAGCCATGGGGAAGAAAAACAAGACCAGGAGCACCAGGTGGTCTATGGTGTAGGTGGAATATGAGCGCTGACTGGGGCTCTCTCCAGGTGCTCTGACAGCTGCCACTTTCTGCCTTCTCCTGCAGTGGGGGCTTCATACCCTATTGGCTAATGAAGTGCTTCTTGAGATGCACTATATCAGACAGATAAAAAGGAATTCCAGTGGTTGACAGGACCCCCATGAGGGCACTGGTGCCCTAATGCATTTCAAAGCACTGTCTTCTGCATCTATGCTAAACTTCTTTGGGTCCAAGAGATGTCTCTGGATCTAAAGAACCCTTGTTTGACTCAGCAAAGGGTCCCTGTAGTCACCTTCCTTGACAAAAACTTGGTGTAAATTTGAAGGTGAAGTCTGGAGAGGATGCCGGATGTCTTGAGAGACTCAGGTAATGGCCTCATTCTCCTCCCCAATACAATGTCCTGTGAGGTGGCAGCAAAGGGTCTTTCTTACAGAAATCCCCTCCATCTCCTCATTTATTAAGAATAGAAGCAGATTTTAACTTGGCAGGAAAAACAGACTTCTTTTTACTGTGCCCCAGGACCTTTCTAGGAAATCTGCAAGGTCCAACCCCACCTGTGGCCCCCATCCTCACCAGCGGGATCGACAGGACCCTATATTTGATGCTAGAGTAAGAACAGAAGTAAAGCTTCTGGCTTAGTGACTCTAACTCCATGCCATTTCTAAACGGAAGGTAGAAGCTGAGTTAGTATTCAACACAAGACTTGGAAAAACAATTTGCTGCATTTAAGTATGTTGCTTACAAGCAGAAGTTGTACTTTGAATTAGAAGCACTCTCCCATTTTCTGCATCTTGCCTATAGGTTTCAATCCTAGCTGCAGGCAACATATGGGAATTCTCCTGTGATCAAGAGTCTTAAACAATTTTAGGAATTGCTTGCACACAAAAGGGAGGCATTATAATCTTCAATAATTCAAATGTCTCTACAATCACTGAGGAAAAGCTAGGCAGGATTTCTGATGCAGGGCTAAATTGAAAGTGCTTTTGGTTTTAGAAAGATAAATGGATGTTCTCACTTGAGGCCGCTGTGTGTGCATGCATATCTCCCATGTATGTGTACACACATGATGGGCAGTTTTGAAAAGAAGCATGCACAGGGCACAGAACAATTTTCAACCAAACTGCAGCTCCCTGAATAAGTGTGAACAGACCGTGATGCCAGCAGATTTATGATCAGTCAGTTGACAGTACCTTTGAAGACTGAAGGAAAAGGAAATGCACACATAAAACCAAAGTGATGATGAGGGCACATTCAGAACAAACCCCTATAAAATTCTCCCAGCTTGGGCCTATTCTTTTAAATAATAGGATATGCAGGAGAAAAGCAAAAACTTCTGTAGACTGTCAGGAGAGTTATTGTCCATGTCAGAAACAGGTGACAACGATCTGTCATTTAGACCTGGTTATACCAAATGCATGGATTTCTGACCCAGTGACCTCCACAAATATGCACTCGAAGGTGGACTAAGTCCCAGGCGCAAGGTTTAAAGATAAAAAGGAGCCACCTAATGATTTTTTAACTTTTAATTAACATTCTCTCAGAATGGGCATAAATTGTCCCCTTTCTTAACCATTTTTACTCCTCCTCTCTCTTCATGGGCCCTCAGCATCATGGTTGGTGAGTGGCCAAAAGGGAACATCTCTACAAACATCTTAAAACAACCCAAGTCGTTTATAAGCATTTTAACAGCACATGATCTGTAATGAATGATTAAGTAAAACCTTTTGTGTTAAATTATGATGTTAATAATGATTCTGTCTCCTGTAATTTATTATGAATTCTCAAATGCTTCGGGTTTGATTTTGATAGAATGCAACAACAGAGTTTATGTGATGACTTTATTTTTAGAACTCCTTCTTTGAAGGCACACATTTTTCCGCTACTGCTGCTACTGTAATTATGTACAAAACCAATCACTCATTAGAGTTAGGATACATTATCTTCTAGACAGATGAGGCTAAATAAGCAACACATTAATAATTCAGAGAGCAGTTCATTATGCATGTGGATGCCTGCTTCGTAACTGAAATAAGAACCTCATCAGCCTCGGCCAACCCTTAAACAATAGTTCTGTGTTATTGCAACCACATTCAAGTTTACGCTTGTTAAACTGCTACTTGGATTATTTTATCAAACATTCATTTATTTGTGGTCCCTTACTGCCGAGAACAGATTTTGGAAGCTCCTTTTTTAAGTTAATGATTTGAGCAATGGGTGTTATTAATTCTCAGAATATTATAAACATGATTAATTTTCAGGCAGAGATTTATTGCATAAGGATTTCAACTATGTCAACTGAAATGCATCACTGTCAAAACAAGTATCATGGCGAAAATAGAATATGCTCCACACTTCAAGTGCTGGTGCTCAGAACGAAATCAATTTAAATTGTGGCAGAAGCAAAATTATATTCTCCAGTGAAAAGGAGTATTTTGAGCTTACTTTATTTGACTTGAAGCATTCTTGTTAAGATTGTGATTTAGAAAGGTAGCTTAATAAGACTAGACTTCTCCCAATAATATTTTGTCTTCTATTATTTCCACTCTGTTTTGCTAGAAAAAGATAACCTTTGAGATTCCCACTCATTCCAAGTGTGGCAAGTGGGAATCTGAAGTGAAGCATTGTTTCAGAAATCCGGGATGGTGAATGTTGATCCTCTCTCTAGCCTCAGTTTCTTTCATTTGTAAATTCAGGGAGTACTCAAAATGATCTTCAAGGTCTCTTGAGGGGTTTGATTTTATGAGGTCTGTACAATGGCTTCTATACCAAGCCTGGCCCAGGAAGCCTCAAGTACTGTAGGGTCAGGGAAGGGGCATCTTTTTCTTACAGAACCTTTTAGAAGGTCCTCCTCTACCATCATAATACTATCCATAATAGCCAACTGGAAGTAAATTCAGCAGTATTACTCAATACATCTTTGTGTCAGGCACTCTACTAAGAACAGAAGGTAGAAGAATAAATAGCAAAGAACTCCAATTTTATCAACAGATATAGAGAGGCCAAAAGATTATTATAATGCATAGAATAATATGATAGGACTACCTAAAATGTATCAACTTTATTCTCCATTCCAGACACATTTAACTAAGTGCTTTATATTAATTGTTACACATCCCAATATATAAGGCAGATGTTGTTATTATGTTCATTTTTAGATAAAAGATAAGAGATGTTAGGCTACTTGTAGAAGATTCCTCAGAAGCTACTGTGTAGCAGCCAGGATTTAAGCAGAGGTGTGTCAAACTTTCAAACCTATGTTTGGCCACTGTGTTATCCATCCTGTCTGTGTTGGTTGAGAATCAATGATCCAGCTCCATAGTGGAACTTAAGCTCATATTTAGTGTCTCTAGTGCAAGCCACAGAAGAAGTCCTTCCAAAGTAATGAGGTCCCTTTGGGATGAGGTTGTTTCCAGATATATTACCATATGGAATCTCTCTGAGTTGGGCTGAGACTCAGTGAGTGCTAAATGGGCCAGATGGTTGCAGTGGAGTCTTTTTTTAAAAAAATATTCATTTATGTATTTATTTATTTATTTATGTACACAAGAAGTGGAGTGTACATCAGAGGTGCAGAGGGTGAGAGGATTCACCAGAGACAGAATGGGGAGGAGAACAGGCAGATCTATTGAAATACACCACTGAGGCAACAGCAGGTAGGACAGGAGAGGTCTGCTGTGCCATGTGGGTCACCCATCTGGCCAGGGATTGAACTCATGTTGCAGTTGTCAGTTAATGCTTAAAAGTGCTGTCGTCAACCCCTGTGCCACCAGGGAGGCCCAGCAGGAGTCTTTTGATGATGTAAAACCAATTTCAGTTATGATTTTTCTAGGAAACCTAAATGGATTTTAGAGCATTAGAAAACAATCAGTTACACTAATCAACCTTTTTTAAAATGATATTTTACTTTAAATATGCATGGGATTATTTAATCCCTATGATAACCTCAAGAAGTCAATAGGGGTTATCATACCCATTTTACAGATCAGGAAACTGAAGTCATGCAAAGTAAAGTGATCTGCCCAAGGTCATAAAGTTAAGTAGCAAGGCCCAAATCTTGTGATTTTGTCCCTATCTGATGAAATGGCTTATTAATTGGTCGGTCATTTTTTATTTTAAATATTTACTTTGTTTGTGAAGTTATTGAGTTTAACAGATGCTAACAGGAGCTTACATTTTTAAGTGCTAACTCTGTGATAGACACTGTTCCATCTTTGTGTATTCATCCTCACAACAAAACCAGCACCTGCTGGGCTGGATAAAAGACAATCGTAGGCCCTCCCTGGTGGCGCAGCGGGTTAAAGCACTGTACTAAGAAGCTGAACCACTTCTGCATGAATTCGAGCCCCGCCTGCCCCGGAGGTGACCACATGGCACGGCAGACCTCTCCTGACCCGCCCGCTGCTCCCCTCAGCAGTGTACTTGTCGATCTGCCTGTTCTGCTCCCCACTCTGTCTCTGGTGAAGTCTTTCGCCACCCCTGAGTCTCTGGCCTGTACCCCAGTTTAAATAAATCTTAAAAAAAAAAAAAAAAAAGACAATCGTAGACAGTGAGGATTTTTTCCCTGTATAAATGAGAGTTAAGTCTAAAAAAAAGTTGTCATATCATAAAGTTCATATTTATTAGTATTATTACAACACATTTACTAAATATTTAATGTATGTCAGGAATTTAATGTATGTCAGGAGTAACACCAAGCATCAGGGATACAGAAACATTTGATAAGGTCCCTGTCCTCAAGAAGTTATAAAGAAATATAAAATAAACAGCATTTTCATAAGGAAAACCTACAGTTATTTGAATAATGACTCCTCAACCTGCTGCTAGAAGTCTTTTTTTAAAAATATTTATTTTTATTTATTTATGCATACAAGAACTAGGGTGTAGGCCAGAGGTGTGGAGGGCATGGTGAGAGGACTCACCAGAGACAGAGGGGAGCAGGCCAGGCAGACTGATTGAGATACACTGCTGAGGGGAGCAGCACGCAAGACAGAAAAGGTCTGCTGTGCCATGTGGGTCACCAACCTGGCTGGGAACGAACTTGTGCTACAGTGGCCTGTGATAGCTTGATAGTGCTGAGACTTAAATCCTTGCGACACCAGGACCACCCAAGCTGCTGGAAGTCTTAGGAAAAATAACTGTGGCTGGTAGGGCCAGGAGACTTTAACAAGAACACAGAGTTTGGTCTGGCATTAAAGACCTGGGAAGTCACTAAGGGACAAGGAGAAGGAGACATTCCCCTGCAACAGAAGAGAGTCCTGGTCTGTTAGGATGTAATGAACCAATTGAGCTGAGGCAGAGAATCTGGGAAAGAGAGTGGGAGGTGTGTTGGAGCCATGTACTGAGCAAGTTCAGGTGCCATCTGCTCACCATGCCATGTGTCTGAATTTCATTCTGAGAGCAAGGAGTCGTCACTAAAGTGTTCTGAGCATTGACCAACAGGGTTTCAGAAACAGTTAACCTGAACATGGTGATGTTCAGAATCCCAGGAAGGAGTTGGGGAAGGATCAGCTTGGGAAATTTGACTGTAGGTTCAAGATGCTTTCACATCTTTCAATCCTTACAGACACTTTTAAAGAAACTAACACAAGAATAGTAGCTTCTATTTATTCACATACCAGGTGCTGTGCTAAGTGCTTACGTAATCATCAGAAGTTTCACAGAAGTTGAATCGTATATTCAAGATCACACATAAGAATTGCCTCAGTCAGGTTTTGAATCTGTCTTTTAACTCAATCTAACCTTTCTACTACAGAAATATGCTTGTGTTCCTATCTTCTAAGTAGGAAGTAAAAGTCCAGACCAAAAAAGGCCTGGAACTAGGATGGTGATAGTTACAGAAAAGAAGAGGAAGTTTGGGTACATGTAACAAATATTCTGGATTTTCTTTCAGATTCTTTATGAATCTCAGGCCTAGATTTAAGAGGAGGGAAACAGCAATTTGTCTGCACAGAGAAGAAACCTCAGGACAGTCTCTTACTTGCCATCCAGTAAGACAGTGAGGTCTTGGGCCTTGCTTTGGAGCCAAGTTACATAGCATTGCGCCAGATGCCTGCCTCCTGCTCTCTGTCGCTGACTGGAGCATGATCTTGGTTTTGCTAGTTTATATACTATAGCAGCATAAGACAAGTTTAGAAGACAAAAATAACCTTGGAATTATCTTGTGAATTCATGGTAATTACCATGCAATTACATGCTCAGTAACTACAATGTCATTCCAGAGTATTTACAGTTCACTTCTGTATACAAAGCTTAGGCTTCTGGGCCTTGGTTGGTACAGATGCAGAATGGCTAGGTCTGGTGTGGCAGGGAGAAGAGCCAGGTGTTTACCAAAACCATACTGTGCTTCAAAAGATGCTCTGTGAGGGGGCCCGGCTGGGAATGATTGCTTTGAGTTGTCATTCCCAAGAGATGTTGTGACCATCCTCTGTGCTTTATGAGACACTTGTTTCTACCTCAACATACTCATTGAGTAGAAGTCCCACGGATTTTTAAAAAATTAATTTAAGTGAGAGCAAAGTGTTATCCAGTTACTCTATCTCATGTATTCATTCTTTCATTCCAAAAACACTGGAATGCCTGTTTGGTGCTAGCATACTGACCAGTCTAGAAATTCAGAAACCAAACAGTGCTCTCAGAAAGCCCCAGTCATGTAAGCGAGAAAGCCAGGGAAAACTCACAATAGGCCATGTTGATTAAGTAAAATTGCACGGCAGATAAAGGTCCAATAACTTTTCTTTTACAAAAATTAAATTCTCAATGCCACAAATGGGACAGCATTTAGGAAGTGCACAACTCAAAATACATTGTCCCGTGGGAACCTAATATTTCTTGTAGATGTGGACTTGCTTACATGAGGCAAGAGCAGGTTTAATTAAAATACTGATAACATGACCACCATATATAGTACTTGATACAAATTGGTACTTTAAAGAAGACATATTTCACAAATGGTGAACATGAAGCCTGGATGTGTGTGTGTGTGTGTGTGTGTGTCAATATGTGTATGTGCATGTGTGTGTATATTTAGGATGCAGGAGTGGAAAGGATTTTTATTGTCCCCTAGGGCCTCATTCAACCAGCCCTAGTTCACCTGTGTTATTGCAGAGACAGAGTCTGAGCTCTGACAATAATGTCAGATTATTATGATCCTTACCACCAGCTCTGGTCCCATAACACCTTTTTCTTCCTCCTATTCCAAGTGACTTCACAAGTGCAGGCCCATGGTTTCCCAGCATCCCAGAGTCCTAAGTCTATACCTTAAAGTTGTCTATGACCTTATATGACATTCTCCAAATTTTTAGTTATCCAAGGACAAACCTATCTGATTGTCAAGGCAAATATCGAATCTCACAAAGGATGTTCCACAAAACTGCCAGAATCCAAATACTTTCTTTTATACATATTAAAGTTAAGGTGTTTGTTTAGTATTTATTATAATTGAAATACTTTGGATCTATGCTGAATCCCTTTGGAATAACTCCCAATGATAGGCAAACAAGGTAAAGAATGGCAGTTTCTCAAACATAGAAACTGATAATGGGCCCCACAAGAAGGAAGACTACATTTAGTTACTTGCTTCAAAAAAGCACAATGTAGAAAAGAAGAAAAGTATCTTTACAGTAAGGTCACCTTAGAATGGTAACAACATTTGGCATCAGTGATAAGCCTATTAATACATGTACTCTTGATACAGGTAGTCTTTCTCTCAAAAACACTACCCCATTCTAATCATGAGAAAAAGAAACTAAGTGACATTCTAGAAAACACCCAATCCACACTCCTCAAAACTGTCAAGGTCATCAGAAATAAAAATCTGAGAATCTTTTGCAGCCTAAAAGAACCTATGGAAACATGATGACTAAATATACTGTATATCCTGACTAGGACCTGGAACAGAAAAGGGGAGCTAGGGAAAAACAACTGAAATCCAAATTGGGTATGAACTGTAGTTAATAGGAATGTAGCAACTTGGTTCCTTAGTTGTGACAACAGGAGTACTGGGAAGGATATATAGGAATTCACTGTGTAACCTTCACAACTTTATTCTAATATTAAAGTTATTTCAATATTTGGTGAAAAGTCTAACATTCAGTTGTAATCTTTTTCAGTTAACCACCAGTCGCTATGCAGTGATGACCACCCAGCTGAAACACAGCAATCTCTCATTGATTTTCCACTATGTTTTTCTCCAGATGTGTAAGGCCCATGGCATTGGCTATGACATTGAGGTATGAGGGTAACAGCTGGCTAAGGCTGGACCAAAAATATGAATGTTGGTGAGATAAGGAGCTAATAACTTTGTGCCCCTTCAAGAAACTATTTTTTTAGTTGAAGTAACCTTGCACTGTAACATACAAATTTCAGGTGTGCACCATTAAAAATCAACATCTTATTGCTGCTTTACTTACAATAGGAAAGACATGGAATCAACCCAAATGCCCAAAAGTAGATGACTGGATTAAAAAGACATGTTACATATACACAATGGAATATTACTCAGCAATCAAAAAGATAAACACCTGCCTTTTGCAGCAATGTGGATGGAGCTGGAAGGGATCATGCTTAATGAAATAAGCCAGAAAGGAAAGGAAAAATACTGGATGGTTTCACTCATAGCAGGAGTATAAAGGACCAGAGGAGAAAATAATAATAATAATAAACAACTATATACCGGAGACATTTTACAGGGGTGGAGTGGGGAATGGGATCAAAAATGGGAGGAGGGGAGGTAGTACACTGGACTATGGTGATAGCACATGGGTGATTTGGTGATGGAAGCCCATGAGGATTACAACTGAGATGGAAAAAGGCACAAAATGATGTAAAAATAAACTATTATATTATTTTTTAAAAATCAACATCTGTATACAGCACATTAAGTTCACCACTAAAAGTTCAACTCTATTCTTGACCATACAACCGACTCCTTTTATCCAACTTACCCATTCCCCCTTCCCTTGTAGTACTCACTAATCTTACAGCCTAAAAAATGATTTTCAAACAATAGCTTGACATGTATTTAGAGGAAATATGAGTACTGCTTGAGGAAGGACAAAAAGTCAGTTTTATAGGGGGTAGCACTTACTACTCAGAAACTGAGCTCTATCCCCAAACTTACATACCCCAGCTTGCTTAAAGCAAAAGCCCTGCCAAATCTTGGGGAAATTTTGGGGCCCATCTCTTGATCCTTAGGCAGTCCCTCGCCCCTGATCCACACAAAGCTGCTTATCAATGAGCAATCTCTGTCTCATTCTGCCATAACAAAATAGTATAGTGGTTTCTCACAGTTCTGGGAGTTGGAAGTCCAAGGTGAAGTTGTCGGTCAATTCAGTTCCCGATGAGAGCTTTCCTCATGGCTTGCAGACAGTTGTTCTCTGTGTCCTAAAGTGAGGTTGGGGGAGGGGAAAAGAAAGAGCGAGCTCTGGTGTATATGTAACCTCTTTTCTAAAGACACCAGTTCTATCCAAGTAGGAATCCACATTTATGACCCCATTTAACTTTAATCACCATAAAGGCTCTATTCCCAATACGCATGGAGCACTAAAGCTTCCACATATGAATTTTGGGAAACACAATTCAGTCTATAGCCTCCTCCTACCCACATATAACCCACATAGTCTCTTTCTAGAAGGGATTCTAGAAACAGTTCTCACACTTTTTGGTCTATTTCCAGTAATATTGATCACCCACCCCTGTTCAGCTGCTTCCACCTTAATGTAGCTGAATGGTGCAAATGGGGTGTCTCCTACCTAAACTAGAAGGTCTATTTTTGCCCCAAGAATTGTTACTCTGGGAAATAGTTTCTTATTTTTTCACTTTGATTCAGATTTTCAAATCTCTGACCTACAGGGGTATCTTAAGAAGTGACCCCAGGCATTCATACTTGCAGAAGACCCAATCCACATCACATCAAAGATACTAAAATATAGTCACCTCTCACATTAATGTAATTTATATGTAGTGACATAACAACTAAATAATAACAAATTAATCAGACTATTTTGATTTATAGATAACAGGTTCTACATTTGCTCATTTTTATTTTTCACACTTGAGAGAAAAATTTTTCAGGAGTCAAATCTTTTTAGAGGTCCTTGAAAAGCAGATAGACACAGTGTTCAGGGCCAGCAGTGAACAGAATGGCCTGACTGACAGTTGGCAATCCCCACCACACTGCAGGGCACCATCAGGGTGCATGAGGCCCTTTGGTTAGATTGGTTCATGCAGTTTGCAAACATGTATAATGGAGCTCAAATTCCCTTGCAAATTACATCAAAATTGGTAAAATAGACAATGAAAAAACCAGATTAAACCAATTTACCAGAAATTAATTGTTGCATCTGCTCGACATAATCCCTTTAGAATTAAATAGTTTTTAGCCCCAAACTGATTAGGCTGAAACACTTCCATGTACCAGAAGGTGGCTATCTCTAACTCTAGCTTTTTCCAGTTCTATTTATTTTCTTCTAAAATATTAAAGCAGGACAAACTCTGTGAATCAGCATAATTGGTGGGAAAAGTTTCCTTCCCAAAAGAAAACCTGCTCCACAACTTTCTGTTGCCTGAAATTATTATTAAAAATCTTTGGCTAAAGGCTTTGTACATCACTGAAGTTCTAGTATTCCTGGGGATAAGAAAGCACCAAAATTTTAAGTGATTTACAACTGTAGCTCAGAGTTGATTGGATTCATTTCTAAAAGCAAAGTTTAATATGGGGAACAGACTGCTCTTGCCCAGGGGAAACAGTAGGTGATTGGAAAGGAGGGGTTCCACTGAGGGCAGGGAGAACTACAAAACGGGGTAGATGGAGAGGCACCAAAGAGTCGAGATGGATCCTGAGACTTGCCTCCAGGTCACCCGTGCTAAACCTCTTACAAAAGATGACAGAGAAAATGGAAGCAAGAGAGAAATACGTGTTACAGGACAATGAAGTGATGGAGTAATATGAAGAGAAGGAAGAGGATAAAATCCAGAGACTGGGGCCCTCCCTGGTGGTGCAGCAGGTTAAAGCACTGCACTAAGAAGCTAAAGCCACCTCTGCATGAGTTCGATTCCCACCTGCCGGGGTTGGAGGGGGGAACCACATGGCAAGGCAGATCTCTCCTGACCCGCCCGCTGCTCCCCTCAGCAGTGAACTTTGTTCATCTGCCTGTTCTGTTCCCCACTCTGTCTCTGGTGAAGACTCTCGCCACCCCTGCCGCCCCTGAGCCTCTGGCCTGTACCCCAGTTCTGTATGCACAAATAAATAAATCTTTAAAAAAAAAATCCAGAGACTGGAAGAAACTTGAAGAAAAAAAAAGGGGGGGGGAATAAATAGAAAAAAAGCAATAAAAGCAAATAATGAGAAAGACATTAAAGAAAAAATGGATCATAATAATCTGAGGTCAGGAGAGGAGTCGTGATCACTTAGAGAACTGGGAACTGGGAATTCTCCAATAATACCCTTACTCTATTTTTGATGAGATGGTTTTTCATCTTTCAAACCTGGGGTTTCCTCCCTGGATATAACACTCCAGTTCTTTTAATTGCCTGTTCTTGGAGAGGGGGTTGATGATCCAGCATTCATAGGATACCTACTATGTGCTAGTGCTGAGCTAAGTACTTTCAGTGCCTCACCTCTTTAATCTTTGTATCTCTCCTATAAGAAGCTATTTTTTCTGCCATGTCACAGTGAGGGACTTAGGCTCAAAGAGTTAAAGCCCTTTCTCAAGATTACACAGGAACTTTGTGGGACTGACATTTGAATCCATATTAGTCCATAAAGTCAAACATAATTCTATCTCTTAACACCAAGGATTCCCAGACACCATCTCCCCCCTAAAAACCATCTCCCACTAACTAAAATATTATTACCAACCCAATCCAAGAGTTCTGGGATCAATTTCAAGTAGAATATTCCATTTAGATATCCCTTAGCTACTTTTCAGCTGAAAAGACACAAACTAATTAATTAATATTAGTAATATTAGTGATACTGAACTGTTAAGAAAGGGAGATCTAAACTTTTGAAATAGGAGTCAGTTATTGAAAGTTGTTTTATATATTTGTATGAACAACAGAACCCTAAAATAGTACTGTCTGATAGAATTATAACACAAATCACAAATGTGAATCACAGATACAATTTTTCTGGAAGACACATTTGCAAAAAGTAAACAAAACAGGTGACATTCTTTTTTTTTTTAAAGAATTATTTATTTGTGCATACAGAACTGGGGTACAGGCCAGAGGCTCAGGGGTGGCGAGAGGCTTCACCAGAGACAGAGTGGGGAGCAGAACAGGCAGATGGAGGAAATACACTGCTGAGGGGAGCAGCGGGCGGGTCAGGAGAGGTCTGCCATGCCATGTGGTCACCTCCGGGGCAGGCGGGAATCGAACTCACGCGGAAATGGCTTTAGATTGTCAGTGCTGTGCTTTAACCCACTGCGCCACCAGGGAGGGCCCAGTGACATTCATTTTAATGACATATTCTACTTAACCCAGCAGTTCAAATATTATAATTTCAATATGTAATAAGTATAAAAATTGTTAATGAGATATGTTACATTTTTTGGTATAGCACATCACAGTTAAGGCTCCAATAATTCAAGTTCTCAATAGCCCCCTATGGTTAGTAGCTACCATATTAGTGTCGTAAGGAAAAGCAACACACCTTACAGATCAGCCAGTCAGTGTTTTCAACCCTGGCTACACATTAGAATGGCCTGAGAGAGGAGCTTTACAACTCATTAGGGTGAAGCAAGAGAGTCACTCACCCAGAGCACAGAATTTAAAGGAGCAAAAATAATATACTCAATAGTAAAGTATCATAGTGCAATATTTGAAAAATCAAAATTTATGCATAAAAACCCACAATGAACAAAACATCAAAAATTTAAATAAAGGCCTATTAAAAATTTCCCCTTTGCCTCAAGCTCCAATACAACTCAGCACAGCCCTGCATCTGAGGCCCACTCCAGATCAACTGAATCAGAATTTCTGGAGGAAGGACCAGGCATTATATTTGTTATAGTATGCAGGTGACTCTAACATGCAGCCAGATGAGAGCCACTGTTCTAATACAATGTTTATCCTCATGTCTATATTTTCTGATAAAAATGGACAATCACAATTCTGACATGTAATTTCTTTTACCCAATCCCAAAGTTATAGCTTTCTTTTTTGGACTTTCAATGATATGGAGTTTTTAACTTTACAAGGCAACCATTTCCACTACTGTACAACTCCAGTGTTAATTTTTACTTATGGAGAAAACTGTTAACAGATCATCTTCAAAAAAAGGAAAAATTTTGCCTGCCTTCAGGACAAAGAGAATAAATGATAAAGATTGTGTTTATTGGAGAAGAATTAGGCAGATGTCATAACAAGTACAAAAAAGAATCCCCCCTTCCAAGAGCAATACCAACCAGGTATCTATATAGAGCAAGAATATTGAAATGAATAGGAAAATAGAAGCAAAACTGGCTCCTCCACAAGAGTACAAGGGATGAAAATCAACTGAACCTTTAATAAACTGATCAGAACTTGTTTCTGAATCAACTACCACTTATAAGGTTGCAAACTATCTCCCATAGTTTGCAATCAAGACAATCAGGCATTCAATATAGAAAACACAGTTTTCCACTGATGTACAAATTAGTTTCTACACAACAAATTCCCTGGATATTTCTTTACTCATTGCCCAAACTACTTAAAATAGTATTTTTCAATTTTTGATGTGTATGAGAATTACCCAGAAAGTGAGCGTTAAAAGAATGCCCATGAAAATTCCTAGTATTAAGCATACAAGATGATTCTGATGTAGGTGGTCTGAGGCTCAAACTTCAAAAAACACTGTCCTCGTGCAAATCAATTCCCTCTTCTGGAGGTAGTCTTTCTAAATAGATTTCTCACAATAGTTGCAGATAATGACAGATTTTCCTTTTTTTTTAAGATTTATTTATTTATTCATACAGAACTAGGGTATAAACCAGAGGTGCAGGGGCAGTGAGAGGATTCACCAGAAACAGAGTAGGGAGCAGAACAGGCAGATTGACGAAGTTCACTGCTGAGGAGAGCAGCCAGCGAGGCAGGAGAGGTCTGCCACACCATGTGGATCACCTCCAGGGCGGGACTCGAACTCATGCTGAAGTGGCTTTAGCTTCCTCAGTGCTGTGCTAAACCTGCTGCACCACCAGGGAGGACCAACTCCAGATTTTAAAGGGTGGTCTTAGCAAAGTACATTTTCTATACTTTGTTTCTAAGATACAGACTATTTCTTTTCTCCCCTTCAAATTTTATAGGGCAGACAAGGAACTGTTTTTATATTATATGAACACCTGAAGAGAGAGAAGCTGGGAATGATGTGAGTATGAAATGTGTCTATGAGATGTAATAAGCTAAGAAAACAGACTTACAACAGCTAACAAGAATGGTTGCTTCTCACACAATTTAATCAGCATGCTGTATTGGAACATTGCCTTTTTTTTTTTTTTAAGATCCTTAAGTATTTCATAAAATGACTTTAGACATGTCAGTGGGGGCTCATAAATATAACTGATTAATTATCCAAAATGGATGGGTAAGAGGCTAATTTTAACAACATAGTACATTTTGACACATACACAAACAAAGCACAGCAAAAGTGACTGATGAAAAGTCAACTCAGATATCCCAACTGTGGAAGGCTGTTTCCACTAGGGCATGCTTATAGCTGTGCTCTCACAATAAGATGCTCCCCCAAAAGGCAGGAACTCAGGGCAACTTGCTCTCCAGAGAATTCTGGAGAGCTATCAAATTATCCCCATCTCAGAACTTTTGCAATGTGTCCTGTTATAATATCCTAGAATATGGCTACTTGATACCTTCAAGTAATCCTAACTTACTGGGAAATTGTCCCCTATATTCCTTTTCTTACAACTTCTACAGCAGTGTAGACATCCTGTCCTCTCATTGAACATACATATACACTAAGATCAAGCTCATGAAAAATGAACAAGTAAATGTCAATTATCATCCTAAGTACAGATGTTCCTAAGCAGCCTCAGTTCCTCCCCTCCCCCCCCCCCAGTGGTCCGTCTTCTAGAGGTCCATCTCCAGAGAGATATACACTGAAGTAGCAAAGATGTGCATAGAACTGATCTTAAAAACTCCTTATTCGAAAGACATGCTTTCGTTTTAAGAAAGCATTATCAGTTATTAATACAGTGTTTCCTTCCCTTTGGAATTAGCATGTGGCTATAATTTAATCTAGTACTTACAGTCTTAAACACTTTTCATCACCTGGGAGGAAAAGCTGGCTATTTGAGTTGTCCGGTCCTATCTTTTCCCCAAATGTCTATAAATATGGGTCATGTTATCAGAGTGGCTGCACCATTCTTTTTAGGTTCTCTCCTGCCCATCCTTTTGTTATATAGCAAAGATGGTAACATAAATGAGACTAATTCATATTATCCCATAAAAAATACATTCATCTTTTCTTCCCAGATTCACATCCATAATGCTAACATAGCCCGGGGCACCTCTGGGCATGTTCATGGAAGGACCTGCTCTCTGCTCCCTAGTGATGTTCTTTCTATCTCTCAGCTGCCTCTTTTCCTTACCCTTATATAGCAGAAAATTTCAAAGCATTTAATCAACTGTACCAGAGGCAGCACTAAATGTTACATGTACAGCAGTGAACCAAAAAACAAGACCCTGCCCTCATGAAACTGACAGTGTGGTGGGATGAATAGTCAGTAACATAAATGAATAAATGGGGACTAGCATGTCAACTGCTGGCAATCTAGGAAAGGGGAGTGGCAGTTTGGTAGTAGCCAGAATACCAGAAATGAACAATGTCCTATTCCACTCATTTCAAACATGTCACTTTGATGTCCAGGTTGTGGCAGGACAGAAACTGTCAGGCAGTTACTGGGAGTAGGAGAATCAAGCAGTCAGCTAGATTTTAAGTTAGTAGGCTGAAGAAGAGAAATTTATATTTTCTAGTCTTAGGGGTCTAATCAAGCAAGTAAGATTCAAGGTTGAAATACATTTCTAAGCTCAGAAATTCCGAGAGATGGATTGCAAAAACTAGAAATCTAAACATAAAGATATAAACTGCTTTACACTAACTAGCATAAAATGTAAATTGAAAAGGAGAAGTTGGATCAGGACTGGAATTAGACAAACGTGTGTGGGGAGTGAAACTGGAAGGAAATGTGCCCTTCAGAGAGGGAAGAAGAGTAGCCAAGTAAGCCCAGTGAGTTCTGGTGCTTGAAGTACCAGAGAGGCAGCTAACACAGCATCAGGAAAGTTCTAGTTGCAAAGAACAACCTGAAGCCTGTATTGGGGCATAGAATTATGGGAGCACAGAGACTCTCAGGCTAACAAGACGATGGCATGAAGAAAGCCCAACAGCAGGTGATAGAGCTCAGCAGAAGCTGATATGCAGAGGTAGGACTTGTGTCACAGAATTGAGATGAGACAGGGATAGTGTTAACAGGGCAGAGGTAGAGTTCCGGGATATCTCAGGCACGGAAGAAGCAAGCAAGAGGAAAATCATTACAGACATTAGGATATAGAAAAATAAACTTATATAAAAAAGGAAACTCCTAATCATCAAATGTTCCAAGGATAAAGCTGATTTGATGCCCAAACCTACAGAATGTATAGCTAGATTGGTAATCAAAAGGAATCACCCAGCTATGTCTATATCTTACCTGAAATTTCAATAAGGATGTTTTGACATGCACGTTAGCTTTAATAGTATAGAAATAGTCTAACTGGAGTATCTTCTAAGGGGTAATTGTTACACATATCTCCTACAGAGAAGACAATATTGACTTGACCACCTGCAATACTCTAGAGCCTTCTACTGCTTTCTATCCCATCTTACTTTCAAACCATAGAACCAGCAAATGTTAGAACAGGGAAGGGCTATCCTTCATTATTATAGAAAGAAAGAATTGATGTTTTAATAGAAAATGTCCAGGAGACAATCCTCATTTTCTATAACTCATATTGAAATAGAAAGGTTGAGTAAATCTTCTTTGTATTTTCTTCATTGTATTGCTTGATTTTCTCTGTAGCTTTCAGAAGAAACTTTTCATAAGATGGCTAGGTTTTGTTTGGATTTATTGCAACATTAGGTGAAGAACATTATTTCTTCAGAAGAGGTAGGATAATACCTACAAGAGGGGACAACTTTACAGATGCTAAAACCATCATAAGGGTTTGCAAGGGTAACATCATACTGACTCCATATATACTGGGATATTTCTGGGAACAGTGAAATTTGAGAAGAATCAAAGAAGGGGAAATGAGGGAATTTCTAGAAGTGAATTAATTAATAGGAGAGGTGACTTATAGTTCATGCAACCTCTTGATTTCCAGCCTGAGCACCAGAGACCCCAGGAAACTGAGGAAGGATAGTAGGGAGGAGCATGAATCTATGTGTAGATCCAGCATCACACAAATACAAGCGCACAAACACACATGCACACTCATGTATATACATCTATGATTTTTTAAAGTATGGGTCTTAATCTTAATTCCTGGATCCCAAGCTGAAAGATTCTGATTTTGTTGATCTGGGTTGGAGCCCTAGAATCTGTCCTCTTAAGAAATCCATGGTCTGATACAAAGTAACCTTGTAGTTATAAAATACAAGTAATTTTTTAAAATCATTGATCTGAAGATGACTTTGGCTATTATTTATTCTCTTAATAGAAGAGATAATAATGTCTAGTAGTTACAAGGGATTGTGGCAGGCATGTGTTAGGCATGCATTTAGGGACTGTAAATCAAAAGGTTTGGAAACACATAATTAGTTCACTTCCTACATTTCAGAGATTAAGAAATGAAGACTCAGGAAGCTTATGTAACTACTCCCTACTCCCAAAGTTACAAAGTCAGTGGCAGAGACAAGAACCCCAGTCTCTGGTCTTTGGCTCTAGGAAGCTTCCACTCCCACCTTGGCCCAAGGGAAAAACCCATCAGGCTAGGAGGCAGTCATTCTAAAAAGGTCTAGGCCTTAGGCTCTGTGGTGACTTATTTTATAGGTAACAACTCGGGGAAAAGTAATCCCAAAGCTTTTTGCTGCTAACAGCTAGCTAGGGGCAACTAGCTCTTCTAGTTTCACCCCCTTAGGAAAGAACAATTTTTTTAATTAATCCATTTATTTAATCTATTTTTTCCTTTGATTTAAAAAAAATGTTCAAAATAGCTAGAAAAATACCCTGGAATTTTGTTTCCAGGTTAAAATTTTCAATGATAAGTGTTTGGGAATTTTCACCAACCACAAATTAATTCTACATCTTGGTTTACAAGATGTGTCTGAAACCATAGTGGGTTCAGTTTTATGAAGATAACAGTTCCTGAATGGGAGACATTTACTTATGAACAGGGTAAGGTGCACCCAAAAGTAGCAGGAATCACTTGTATCCATGAAATAGAAAACAAACCATAGATAAAAGTCTCCAGAATACTGAGCTAAAATGTTTCTAGAGATGAGGCAATTGTTATGCATAAATTATACTTAGTGACAATTATCTTAAATGAATTCAAACAATTTGTAAAATGGATTAATGCGACTATACTAGCTCAGTGGTAGCCTTTTGCTAGGAATGACTGAACCTATTCCTATATTCTGTTAAGTTGATTAATAAAAAATATTTATTACACAAATCCTTTTTGTTGACAAGTTAAAATGGAGCCTCATCTTTCATATCTCCCTGAAGATTGCCACCTTGTGAGATTGAAAATACTCATTAAATTCCATCACCAGACAGGCACAAATGAGAGGGCGATTGTTTTTAAGCATGTGAGGGGAATCGTTGGTAAACTCATTTGTTTGGATATCATTAACAGAACAATCGGTGAGGATCTCCAGGGGGTCCTCATGACCTTTGCTCGCAATCTCTTCATCATCCATCAAGAAATATCAGCACCTAATATGCAAGGCGAGACCAATTTTAAGGTGAGGTGTTAATTAACTAACGATCCTGGTTAATTTCTATACAAGGGCTGAAAATACCTCATGCTGTATTGTAAACAAGTGCTAAACCATTTTTTTTTTATTGTAAGCAGTACATATTTTACAATGTGCAGGGTCAATATTGTAAGGTTCCCACTGAACTTGTTAGTTAAATTTAATAGCTTGAAACTTTTTCTTTGAAATATAGCAGACTTGTTTAAGTTGCCGGCATTCCCAACCCAAGCTTACAAGACTAGAGCTTTCTGAAATTGGAAGCGAAACTGAAACATCACAATAGAACTAAAACAGAAAGATTGTCACAACCAAAAATCCTGAATGTGTTTTACCTATTTTAGATAATACATTGTCTGGTTAGAGAATGCTGGGGAGTACATGCTTCCAGAGTCAGAGAAGTTCTGAGACCACAAGAAGGACTATGTGAAAATGAGAAGCAAAGAAACCTCAAACTATATATGAGACATCTACGCCATCCTCTTTCACCAAAATGGGGCAGGTGTTTCACCCAATAACCTTAAGTAAGCTTACACAATGGCTTTAAGAATGTCCAGCCAGGAAACTCATTAATTATAAATTATAAATTATTATAAATTATAACTCATAAATTATACATAATTGATTAGAAGTCTCCAAACTCTAGACAGGAGCAAGATCTCTACTAGACATTTCAAAACACAAGCCTACGGAAAATAATGACCACCAAGATCTGCATCTGATTCCCAGCCTGGGCCTTTATCATGTTTGAACGGGTCATGTAGCTCAAAGGACTCAATCACAAACCATTGCAGGTGATTTTTCTCTTAAACAGGAAGTCCAACAAAAGCTTGATGAAAGTGTTACAGGGTAGCCCAGAGTGGACTGGGCCGCCTGTCTGTGGGGCCTCACCCATGCACTCACAACTCAGTTACACTACAGGTACACACAAAAGGATCAATAACGGGTTTATTTACAAAAGGGGAAAGGAATAGGAAACAACACAGGGAAAGAGAGCAGGATACAAAGTAAGTGAAATACCTTATGGCTAGGCTGACTGAACACACCAAGTCACGTGGTCCAGACAGCTGCTTCTCCAGCGAGAGAGAGCCAGAGGGAGAGCCAGAGTGAGTGAGATGCAATTGCGCCCTATGTATCCCCCCAAATGTCCCAGAATCCATTCCTGCTAGCTCTTCCCTTGGGTCCTCACAGTTCTCTCCCTGGTACTGTTGGGAGTTGTAGTTTCCAATCACTGGAGTAGGGGTTAGGGTCCAGAAAGCTGGAGTGGGGGGTGGAGTCCATAAGACTCTGCAGAGTTCCTTTAGGACATCCTTCCCCTTAACAAAAGTTTAATTTTTTAATACTATTTTTCGTTCAGCTAGAGCCTGTCCTCTGGAGTAACAGTAATAATGACAATGCTTTTATCTTCATTATGATTTTATAAGTTGGAAGAGGACCATTGTTTTTCTCACAACATGACTGAAAAAATTCAATAAAAAATTGACCCAGTGTTAAATCAACTTTCACTAGTTCGAATGATTCTATGCTCATCATTTATTTTCTAAATTTCTGCCAGAATATCATTTTCCCTGTTACTACAATGTCCAAAAATTCTAAACCTGTCTGCATGTAATTACTTTAATACAGCTCAATATTCAAAACCAGGTAGTACTATGAGCTGAATTGTGCCCTCCCAAAATCCATGTATTGAAAACTTAATCTCCAGTTTGATGGTATGTGGAGATGGGGAGTAATTATATTTAAATAAGGTCATGAGTGGAGTGTAGGGCCCTTCTGATGGTATATAATGTCTTTTTAAGAAGAGACTGGAGTGTGTTCACTCTCTCCTTCCTCCATCCCCTTTCTTCTCTCCCTCCTCTGCCTGTTAGAGGAGAGCGTGAGGGCCACTCTGGGATCCCCAAACTTGCCTGCTCTAAATAAGTTCTGCCATCTGCCACATCAGTACAAAACATAATATAGAGCATAAGACCATCAATGGAAAATCGTATTCAATGCAACTAGTGTGTGATAGAAAGACAAAAAAGAATATAGTTAAAATTGTTTCCTGTGAAGCACCCAGAGTTACCCCTTTGTGGGTAAATGCTCAGCCAAACAGGATTGGCCCAAAATAGCACCACCGAGGACTAAAAGCCTGCCACAAGTCTAAGACACCTTCTGATGGAAACCCACAAAAATGGGCTGAAGTGGCTAGACAAGTCTGGGGCCAAAGGAGCAAAATCAAAATACAAGTCAAGGTAAAGGCTGCTAACATCAACCTCCCCCATGGGTCTCTCACCCACATTACTGTCTCTTTCCAGTGTTACCCAAGTCCCTGGTACAAGTCCCAGACCTGGAAACAAGCACAGCTTTTTCACATGTCTCTCTGCTCCATGTGTCTCCTGGTCTCCTGGATCCACATCTCTCCTTCTCCCAGTCTTCTCTAGGTTCTCCTTCCTGCCTAACTTCACATTTCCTTATAGGGTAGAAACAGGAAACCTGGAACCTCATCTTTGCCTGGCAATTACTTTGTTACACTACTCCTTCCAAACTTCCACCACATACCAATACAGCAAGATAGATCGATAGCTGTCTGCAACCCAGGAAGAGGACTCTTACAAGGAACTGAATCTGCTAGTACCTTGCCCTTGGACTTCATATCTTCTAGAACTATGAGAAATAAATTTGTGTTGTTTAAGCTACAAGATCTATGATATTTTGTTTCAGCTACTGAAGCAACTGAGAGAAATAGTTTATTCCAAAAAATCACACAGACTTAATTTGGTAGTCTCTGAGCTTGGACTTGAAGTTGGCAAAGCCAATTACCATCTACAAGATAAAGGCTGACTTTCAACATTTTTGTAAGTTAGATGTTCTCAAGTAGCTTTAGAATTGTTTATAAATATTTTAAATTTAAAATAGTTCCTAAATGTCTAGCCTTCTCAGATGAATCATTGTCTTGGTTTTTTTACTCCTATTAGAAGATATAAAAGTAAAAACTTTAGATCTCAACAAAATAGAAATACTACATTTCAAGAAGTAGAAAGGATTCATCTTTGTAGTTTACTATTAGTCTCATACTAATAACTATTTTCAGCTTATAAACAAGAATTTACCAGTAAAGACTGAAATGGGGGGGGGGGGAAACACTGAACAAAATTTGCACACTTTCTTGATAAAAAGAACTCAAACAAAAAAGGAATAGAAAGTAACTTCTTCAACCTGATAAAGGCATTTAAGAAAAAACCCACATTTAGACTATAAGATTTCTGCCTAAGATCAGGAGCAAGACAAGAGTGCTGACCTTTACTAGTTCTATTTATAATAACACAGGAGATTCTAGCCAAGGCTAAGCAAGAAAAAGAAATGAAAGGTAGCTACTTTGGAAAGAAGTAAAACTGTTTCTAATCACAGATGACAAGATCTTGTATACAGAAAATACTAAAGAACCCAGAAGCAATCTACTTTGCAGGGCCCAAGATAAATATATGAAGATCAATTGTCTTTCTATACTCTGGCAGTGACCAATTCAAAAATAAAACTACAACAGAAAGCAAAGTATTAGCATCAAAAGGAATAAAATACTTAGAAATAAATTAACAGAAGTGCAAGATATGTTCACTGAAAACTACAAAACATTTTGATAAAGAAGACCTAAATAAATGGAAAGATAATTTGTGTTCATAGAGTGGGAGACTTACTATTGTTAATTTAACAACAGTTCCCAAATTGATCTACATACCTACAACAATTCATATTAAGCTCCCAGCTGATTTTTTTTTTTGCAGAAACTGACAAAAACAACCCTAAAATTTATGTGGAAATGCAAGAGACACTGAATAGTCAAAATAATCTTTAAAAAGAATAAATTTACAGAACTCAAACTTCTGGATTTAAAACTTTCTACAAAGCTAAAGTAATCAAGACAGTGTGATAATGACATAAGAATAAACATCAAGGCCAATAGAATGAAGATTTTATTTATAGTCAATTAATTTTGATAACGATACCAAAGCATTCAATGGGAAAATAATCTTTAAAAACCAGTGTTGGGCCCTCCCTGGTGGCACAGAGGGTTAAGGCACTGCACTGAGAAGCC